TCTCTCTCTCTCTCTCTCTCTCTCTCTCTCTCTCTCTCTCTCTCTCTCTCTCTCTCTCTCTCTCTCTCTCTCTCTCTCTCTCTCTCTCAGCGCTTTGTTTTTTCCGTCTTCTTTTTTTCCCCCCGATATGTGTACAATACTTTCAATTCCACGCAACTAAGGAAAAGCTGGGAGATGGAAAATAGCAGCCAGGATAAGGGGGTAAAACCCTACATGAAGGTAGGGGGCTTAAAAGAGGGTTCGGAGTTGAACAGGTAGCAGGGGATTTTTGCCCTGCTTCTTGAGTACCAAGAGACGATTGAGGTGCTGGGAAAAAAGATAGAAGGTATGAGACTCATAAGAGGGTAAATGAAGCCTGATAGGAACATAGGTGCTCAGGTTATAGTAGCTGGGAGGTACTACCAAACAGACTAAGTGCACGGACCAAGTACATTTCTGTTCTAGCTTACATCTAATCAGTTCTCAAATTGACCATGCAACTACCAAACAGACGAAGCAGATTTCTGTTGCAGTTTTGCAGCTTGCATGTGTCCCACAGATTATCATTCCAACATTATCCCGCGGTGTATTGTGAGATGTGGTGTCTCACGGCAAACCGGCCCACCTGTCAGCTGCATGTGCAAATTCCCTTCCTGTTTCGCACGGCGGGCCCACTTCTTCTTATAAATGCTGTTAACCATCTCTCAGGCAGTGTGCACGCATCGCCTTCTCAAGCTCAGCTTTCCAACTTTTCAAGGCAAGGAGACAACATCTGAGCTATAGTGCATTCAAAATGGAACAAACTTTCTGTTTGAATCGCCTAATATCATAGAGCTTGAAGGCAAGCAGGACGGGAGAACAAGAAACTCAACATTTGTTGGGGAAGGGAGAGCTGGGTGGATAGGGCAAATATACCCGTAATGAGTCACTCACGATTGAACTCATTCCCCTTGAGGTTCTCTGTAAGAATCCGCATGCCAGCTTCACCCATGGCCACCTTCGTCAAGCTTGTGATCTTCACCAATGCTCCCTCAATCATACTGGTCTCCATGTGCTGATCACCCACAGACATCATCAGCACCAGTGCCAGCAACACGAACAGCAAGACTGCGACCATCATCACCATAATAATGATCTGGCACTTCCTAGCAGACTCCCTTTTATCATGTCGATAATGGATACTCATGAACAGACACCAGGGTTGAATGTCCAGCACTCAGATGAGGCCATACCTGCTGACTGTGCACCTGGATAAGAAGGAAAGGCTCTTCCCTTGTACCCCCCTATCTACTTAGATCTAATGGTTCTAGTGCAGGACAACGATCCTGGACACTCGTGAGAGAGTAACATATAGGGGGAGGATGGGATGGGGGCATTCACTGGCAGGGAGCTATGCTTCTTTCCTCTTTTTTTTTTCTTTTTCTTTTTTTTTTCTGGGGGCATCAGTCCGGTTCCTATTCCCCCGGCAAGTCAAAACGAGTACATCATGAACCCACTCACGCTTCCTTCCGTATGGCCGAAGGAACCCTGACCAGCATTGATTACTCCTATTAGGAGGATTGACTGTCAGCTTGCCTTTCCCTGCAATCCCTCTCAGATTCCTCTGTGGGAATCTGCCAAGTAAACTTTAAAAACAAGGAGAACTGAGAAGGGCCACTGAGGCAACCGCTATTTTGTAATCCATGGGTGAAGGACTCCTAAGGAAAACCCAGGACGCTAACAGCAAGGGATATGGCAAATGAAACATCTATGGTCAGAAACCAATGGCAGATGGAAAACAGGTAGAGAACTGAGGGAAGAAATGAACTATAATCGAAAATCTGAACGACATGCTAATCTCCATTCCGGAGGAGTGGACGCGGATGTTGAGGGGTCCATGCAAATGGGGATGGGGTGACTGGGCAACTTGGTGTCATAGTGAGGAACCACAGCAAGCCTTTCGCTTTGGTAAGGAGGTAGGACCAGCTAAACAGTGGTTGGAAGCAGATATGTATACAATCTTGACCCCAGGCACCACAGTGAGTCAACTGGATAAGGACTCGAGGGTGCCGATCACCATCAAGCAAGATCTTTTGAGAAAAGTCAGAGTTATAGAGAATGAGGAGTTCACAATATATGCTCCAACAATCAGCATTCAGAATCTAGAGATTGATCCAGTAGAATGGATGTGGAACATCAGGGGAAGCTCGTCACGAGTAGTCAAGAGAATTAACATACTTCAGTATACGACTAAATGGGGGTATCGGCTCAGGAAAAGGTCGAACCAGATGGATAGGCCTTTGGCGATAAGATGGGAGAAGAGGGTGGGCATACCAAGAGAACAGGTAGGCAAACTACCATGGTCATGCCTACACAGCATCAGGTTGAGTAAGATCCGGAGTATGCAGTGGCTCATATTCCATGCGGCACTCCCAGTCAACGCCTGGTTATATGAAAAAAGGAGTAGGCAGCATAGGGATGAGACAGAGCAAGACTGCACCATGTGCACTGAGGGAGTGCCCGAAACGCTGGTGCATTGCTTACTTCGATGCCGGGAAGCAGAATACATCTGGGCAATAGCTGGTATTCTTTGGGAGCGTACTACGGAGGTTCTCTTTCCAAGAAACAAAAGGTTTTTGCTCATAGGAAGGGAAGTACCCAAGGGATGGCGGGCAAGTGAGAAATGCATCTTCCAGCTATTAAGACAGTACGCACTATGGACTATCTGGAAAAGGAGATGTCAACTGGTGGTAGGTCAAAATTCATTGACCAGAATGGAAGCCAGAACAACACTCTACAATCTATTGGAAACAGACATTAGGGCTCAATGGCAGAGGACTAAAATGCAAGCATCAGTCAACCCTGAAAGGGCGAAGGATATCTTCATGAAATTTCAGAATAAGGTATTGGCCCGAGGCGAAGTAGCGACCATAGAGGGACAGAGACTGATCTTTCATTGGTTTACGGAGGAGCGTCGTGAGGTGTCCTTGGGGGCCCAGCGGGTGACACAGGAACTAGGACTACCATAGGGATAGGAGGGTGGGTGAGAAAGTGGAGGCCAGTGGAATAAGGGTTTCAGGTTTAAAAAAAAAAAGAAAGAACCTGCATGAGGCAGAAAAACGAAAGGAGCCAGAGGAATTTCGAAAGAATCTGGCTTAGCAAGAATAGAGTCTCAGAGATAGAGAAGGGCACAATCCGATTCAAAAACTGGGAATAAATCAAAGAACAAAAAAAACTAGTAAAGCAGAGACCGTTGTGGGTAAGGTGGCAGGGCCAGAGGATTTCTGCAGTCAATGGAGAAACAGGCACAATTCGGAAATAGAGGGGAGAAGACGGGTGTTCCAGATACCAAGCAACCAAGGCCCAACACAGGCACCGTGAGTTGCTTCAGGGGACTTCAAGAAATGCTCGGAAAAGATTTGGAGTTTATGTTTCTGGAAAAATAAAAACTATAGTTGAGGGTTTAGGGTTTAGGGTTTGGACAGAATTAGGGCAAACAGGGTTCAGAATAGCAGAGTTTTCATGTGGCTCACATGGGGGATTTACAGTTTAGACAAAATGGGAAGCTTTGGCGGCTTCTAGGACCTTTCTCGCTAGTCATGCTTTATACGACAGGTTTTCGCAGTAGACCTGAGAGGAAAGGATGAAGCAGGGCAAGCTGACAGTCAATCCTCCACGATGTTGGAGCAATCAATGCTGGTCAGGGGTCCTTCGGCCGGACGGAAGGAAGCGTGGGTGAGTACTTATGATGTTTCCTGTTATTCTGACTTGCCGGTGGAATAGGAACCGGACTGATGCTCCCCAGAATGGAAATGGAGCCAGGACCATAAGGGCCTGTTTTTTTGTTTTTTTTTTTCAAAAAGAGAAGGGCCACTGAGTTGCTTCTCAAAAAATGTTGGTGTCTTGTGTGCGTCCTTATGTCGCCTGTGGGTCCTGTGGACAGCCCGCAGCTTGCTGTAGTGAGCTTCTCCACCTGGTTTCCCAGTTATGTCAGTCTTTCCAGTGTATATTGCCATCTCTTAGCTCTGTAACTTTTCCTCTCACCAGCCAAACTTTGACAAACTTGGAGAGGATAGTACGCTGCCGATCTTCATCCTTAGGCAATGCCTGTTCCGTTCTGTGCCATCTGCATAAAATCTCCGCCTGAATCAGTGTCCTGGTTTCTGTCCAACCCTTTTCTCTTGGCGTTGATAATCGTTTAGTAGTCCTGCTGCATCTCTCCTTCCACATAGACCACAGAGTAACTTTTCTGATCATACCATACCATGTCTTCTCTGAGCTGTTGAGGTGAGTCGGGATGTTAGTCCACAGTAGAAGTTGGATGGAGTGTTCAGGGAAGGGTTTGGTGAACCGGGAGTCCCAGAGATCCGAAGCCCTGGCCCAGTATTCTGTTGCTTCTTTGCATTGGATTAGGCAGTGAAGTAAGTCTTCCGGTACATTTTCTGAGCAAACTGTGCATAGGTCGGAACTGTTAGGATCGTTCTTCGATCTATGAATATGCAGCCACTGATTAACTGGTAGCGCTACATAGGCTATCAGCCATTGGAGACTCCTGATTTTGACCGGTCTGATTGCTTTGAATTTCTTCAATGGAATCTGTGTGATCTGGTCTGCCTCTTGACCAATTAGTTTTGCCCATCTGCTTCTGATTATTGGTTCTGGGTCTTTAGTCTTGAGGAATAATCTGCACCCCATCTTTCACCGAGTAGTCCTGGATTTCTGTATTCATATATTGTTCCTTCCTGATGCCCAAGCCCATTCTGTTGGGTCGAATTCCAAATCCTGGATCACTGTGTCCATCCTAAAGATTGTTTTGGGCCAGGAGCCCATCACTCTCACTTTCCTGAGAAGAAAGATGTCTAGATTTGTTCTTACTACGTCCTTTTCGAGGATGGATTCCAATCCATGCACCAACAGCGATGTCGGATAGGAGGTAAAAATTGCAACAGTGTTTGAGCCCTGTTGTTTATGTGAGAATTGGTAGGCCCTTGAGGGGGGCATTTCCTGGAACCGGATCCCCCATTCGCCTGTTTTCCATATTGGTGGTCTCTTTAACATATCTTTCCATCCTTCCGGCAAGGTCATGGTCTGTTACCCATTCCCTTTTCTCTTCATCCCATAAATGTTTGATTTTCCACACTGTGTTTTATCCAGGATAGCCAACGGGTGCCTCTGGGCTTGAGGGAGAACGAGTGATCACTTTCATCTCTCAACCAGGGTTGCCAAACAGGGTTGCCTCAGTACGTCTTCTTTCGTCTTGGGCTTGCCGACTTTTTTTGCCATGATTTCCCTCCAGATTTTTAGCAGAGCCATCCAGTAAGGGGTGGGGGGTCTGGCCTCCAGGGAGTTGTTTCCTTGTCGGCGATTTCTGCGTCCTGTGTTGGGTGTCCATTCCTTATTCATCACCCAGAATAAACCCGACATGTTTGTTGGTGTCGGCACAGGAGCTAGACCTCGAATGCTGTCCAAAGCTAGTTTGTCCCACGCTGTGCCTGGTTTAGTCAGCAGTTTAATGATCCATTTGACCTGGAGGGCTTTGGTTTCTTGTTTGGGGTCGATGATAACCCTTTTTTACTTGGTTTCCTCGTGATGTAATGCCATGCTATATTAGGGATGCAGTTAACTTTATTGGGGACCATTGGTAGGCCCTCGCTGTCCAGTTCAGTTCCTCGATTGAGTTATCTGGTACTGTCCAGATTGAAGCTATATACGACATCATTGAAAAGATAGAGGTATTGATAGTTAAGGCGCGACCCAGCAGAGATGTGAAAGTGTTCCCCTCTCTACCCATTTTATTGATTTGTTTAGTCAGGACATTCTGGGCCATTTTGGGGGCAAAGCCTTCTTTTGTCATCAAGATCCCTAGGTAGTGTGTAGGTGTCTCCAATGTCTCCCAAGTCAACACTGCCTCTGCGCCTTGGAGCTGTGGGGCCTCTTCTTCTGACAGCCACCATCCAATCGTTTTTTTCCAGTGGATCTTCATTTATGAGGCCACTCTGAAAGCTTCCATAGCTCTTACTAGAGCACTGAGGGATGAATCTGAGGCTCGTATGAGAACAATGAGGTCGTCTACAAACATTATTACCATGGTTGTCAACCGGACGTCCGGATCGGGATCCAGACGGTCCGGTCTGGATATCCGGATCCTATGTTCGGTTCGAGGGGTCCGGTTGGGCCCGATTTCGAGAAAATTCGAAAAAAAAGGGGTCCCCAATCGCTTTTCCAGTCCCTGGAGGACCCCCCAAAATTGTTGGCGCATTTTTTTGTGCACCGTTGGGCCAACCGGACTGTCCCTGAAAGGCCTGTACTTGCAATCTTGGGTGAGGTTCAACGGGCCAAGGAGAATTGGTGTGTGTGTGTGTATGCGTGTTGTCATATTCGCTATACACTTAAAAAAGGCATGACTGTGCCAGACTGTTTTGTCGGCCCTTCACCGACTCATCAGGAGGTTGAGCCCCGACAGTCTGCCCAGGATTCATTTGACTGATGGATAAGGACTCACGACATCACCCAGAGTTAGCAACACCCCTGAGAAAAGTGGTCTGTGTGTGTATGTGTGTGTGTGCACGACACTGTGTGTGTATGTGAGTGTGTTCAAAATAAGTCGGATAATACAATTACAACAGTGTGTCTTTTTTTTTTTTTTTTTTTTTTAATCCGGACATCCGGACCTGTTCATTCATAACCAGACCGTCCGCTTGTCCGGATCGGTGTCCGGTTTATTGGACGTCCGGATTAATTCAGACACTGGTCCGGGCCCGGTGTCCAGTGTCTGGATGTCCAGGTTCACGGCAACCATGATTATTACTCTGGGAAACTTTAGATGGTGGGTTGATCCTGTGTTGATTTCTGACAGTCTGTGAATGGAGGGGGTTTTCCGTAGGAAGGAGGCTATTGCTTCCATAACAAAGAGGAAGATTGGGGGGGTTAATGGATCGCCTTGACGGACTGATCGTGAAAATTGGTAGCATTCCAACAGCAGACCATTGAGTTGTACACAGCCAATAGCATCGTTGTATAGAATACTTACCCATTTTCTGAAATTCGGACCTACTCCCATCTTTTCCATGCTTGAGTTTGGGAAGGCCCAGTTGACCTGATCATAAGCCGTCTCAAAATCAAGAACAATATCCCTGTATTAATCCTCTTTCCTCTCAGTTTGTTGGCTGGTTCGTTTAAACTTTAAAGTGAGTACATTGTCAAGAATGTATTTTCCCGGTATGAAGCCTGTCTGATCTATATGGAAGCACTTGTCTGTAAGATCGAGGATCCTGAAGGCCAGGATTTTGTAGGGCAATGTGAGTAGTGAAATGGGCTTGTAGTTCCGTACGTCTTCTTTGCCACCTTTCTTGTATAGAAGTGTGACTACACTGCTGCTCAACACATTCCCTAGGCCCCCCTTCAGCCAGCTGTCCTGGTAGAAGTTCAGTAGATCGCCTCCACAAAGTGGCCATAATTTCTCCCATAATTCTTTTGGTAGTCCATCAATGCCTGAAGATTTGTTGTTGTTCATGCTCTGGACTGCAAACTGCAGTTCCTCTAAGGTGATGGGATTGTCTAGAGCATCTGCCTATTCTTGTGAGATAGTAAAGTTTAGGTATTGGAGCATTTTGGTCCACGGTTCTCTAGTACTGGGGGGAATGAGGGTCGGAGTCTTTGTATGGTAGAGCTCTTCGTAGAAAGCCATGGCTATGTTTAGCATTCCTTTGCTGTCTGTTAGTGCTTCCGTTGTATCAGAGAGGGTCTTGAGGCCCTCCACTGAGCTCGATTTTGTGTTTTCCTTAATCCTCGCAAGGAATTGCTTTGACATTGACTTGCTATGCTTGTACTCTGTCATTCTCGATCCTATTTGTAAACCCTTTAACTCTCACCATCTCCACAAGGCCAGTTCATCTGTGGCATACTGATACCACACGGGCCCCAGTAAGGCCCGGTCCTGTAGTAGGCACGGTTTAGGCCTAGGTACCGGGTCACGACAGTCCCAGATAGGTCCAGGTAAGCCTAGGAATCGTCGGTTCAGTTTAGGGTCCAGTAGGCCTCGTTTAGACCCCACCAGACACAACGGCTAGTTTG